CTTAGAAATATTTTCGTCATATTCCAGTCGGTAGTTGGACGATTAGTTGCATCAAGGTCCAATTTTTAACTTGGAAAAATTGTCATCATTCCAGTCGGTATTTGGACGACAAGTTGCATTAAGGTCCAATTCTTAACTTAGAAACATTTTCATCATATTCCAGTCGGTATTTGGACGAAAAGTTGCATTAAGGTTCAATTCTTAACTTAGAAATATTTTCGTCATATTTCAGTAGGTATTTGGATGACTTATCACGCCAAGGTTGAATTTAGTTTAGTAATTTCTTATCACTTTGTTCCAATCGGAACTTGGACATTCACAACAAGTCAAGATACAGATAAAACAAAACATATACTTCATAGATGTCTCAAAATAGTACGACAAAATTCATAAGGCACCACAACAATAATTAAAAAACAAGAAGAAAGGCATAGTTTCTAAGAGTGAATTTAATCGTCTTCCGGGGGGCTACGAGCTCGCCATCCACGATCTCTTTGAAGTAACCAAGGCCTCCAAGGTTAATATCGGCATGAAGAAACTTCACTTGACTCGTCACAGCGTCAAACCCTTGCACGAATTTCTTCAACGAGTCCATTTTAGTGGCGTGAAGGTCAACCTGCAATCTTTCAGCCTCAGCTTTCGCCGAGGACAGCTCGCCTTCAAGAGTTTCAGCCGCGGCGACACTTTTGTCTCGGGCAAGTTTGATTTCTTCAAGCTCCTTCTCCAAAATGGATCTCTCGGAGGCCCAAACTTTTTTCTCGTCATCAAAAGCACGCCGACCCTCGAGTAGCTTATCTCGCTCAGACTTTACCCACTGAAGATCTGCCTTACCTTTCTTCAGGATCTCTTCGAGGGAATTGATTTTCTTCCCCTGCAATTTGATCTCTCGGGCCATTCCTCAAACTTTATCTTCATTAATGAGTGACAAAGTGGAGAGACGATTAGTTAAAGACTCGACCCCTTTCGCAATCGAAAAAGGGCTCATCTTTTCTAAGTCCTCTTTATCGCCTTCAAGCAGATCGGTATGGTGAATATGAGACGAATGGTTGAACTTTTCGTCCCAAAAGGACGGAGTTTTCCCTTGGTCCGTGTCGTGATCGATGGGCTCCCAGTTGTCCCCAATGCACATACTCAATGTCCTCTCGGCTGACTGAACCTCATCATCCTTCTCAGCTACGCCGACTGCAATCACGGTCTCCAAATTCACAAGTGAGATCGGTCTCTCGGACTCACGACGACGTTTGAGAGAGCTTTCACCGAGTCCTTCCTTCTGAACTGGAGCCCCACCCCCTATGGCCTTCTCCACCGTTGGATTGTCAATCCTAGCACCCTTGGAGGCCTCCTGTTGTTTCCACAACTTCCTCATCTCGCGGTTACTCAAACTCGCCATTTTATCTGCATAAGGTTTAAATACATGTCATCATTACAAGGAAGCACAAAAATCAAATAAAAATAATATTAAAGGTTATCGGTGAGAGACCGACTACCTATATAGATCCTCAATTCACTGGGTCTATTTTCTAAGTCTAGAAGCCTAGTGGTGTTGAAAATCGTTTGAAGCTCCTCAAGTTTTTTAACGTCCTCTCGGTCTTCCTCGGTGACCTTCTCGAATGACAGACCACCATAGGATACCATTCGCCGGTTCCAATACAGAGGGTATCTTTCGAGCAAATTTTCATTACCAGGAGTACAACGAAGTCGAAAAAATGACTTCTTAAAGTCCTTGTAGGACGACTGGAACAATGTCAAAAGCCCTCGGCCATGAACCCCACCAATGGACACCCAACTAGTACGCTTGCTCACTCGGGATTCAAAAAAATAGAAAAATTTTATCTAAAGTTGGAGTAATGCCTAGACCTATACACAAAATTTCAAACCCTCGGACAAACGCCCAACCATTTGGGTGAAGCTGTGTCGGGGCTACATTCAGTGCCTGAAGCACTCCTTTTTCACACTCGGAAAGGGGCCACCTCACCCTAAGTTTTGAAATCATGGTAGTGTAACAAAAGGTAAACCTCTCGGAGGAACCCCCTTTGACACACACGGGCTCCCTATTAACACAAGGCTCACAAATAATCACACTCTCCCCCTCCTCACAAACCACGTGTTCACTACAGAAGCTATCAACTATGGCCCACGAGTTTATACAAGATTCGCAACGCAAAACATCGTCTTTCACCCAATCATACAGTTCCCCATAATTTATGGAAGCCATTATAGATGAACAAATTAACTCAAAAAACTACTCAAGGTTTTCTTTTTCTTTTTCTGCAAAACAAAAAATACCAACAGGTTTAAATAGACGCGTACCTAAGGGCACCCAACAACTCTTCCTCACTCAACAACTTCACCGGAGCGCCGCAAACCACCGTGGACCACTGAAAATGACCACCGCCAAGGAGATGCTAAGTCCTAAAAATGGGAGAGGAGAAAGCAAAGACCAAAGCAATGGAGAGCCCTGGGTATATATAGGCAAGGGAGGCATACCAAGGAATCCACCTTTCGAAAACGCAGCGTTTAATGAAGAGACTCGCATTCAAGAGTTACGACGCATGCTGGGAACGTTACAGCTTTTGGTTAAGCTCCCCATACGTTTCAGGACACGTGGCACCACTGTCATCGTTTCTCTAAAAATCCACCCTGCAATAAATGCATGACTCCTTGACGCGACACGAAGGGACACCACTTGGACTGCTTCTCGGGAACGTCCCAAAATTTGGCTCAGAATGAATGCTTGACCTAATAGCAAGATTTCTCGGTAGTATGTCGACCACTACCCAAGGCGCAAACCGCGACGCCTATGCCTGAAGCCCTCTCGCCTTATAGGCTCAGGGCTGGAAGGCAAGTGGACCATCCAGGTCGGATCCCGACCTGGCCTTCTCGGTTTTCTTCACGTGCGAACTACGACGAATCCGACCTGACCCTCTCGGATTACTTCGAGTGCAAACCACGACGACTAGGCATCAAGCCCTCTCGCCTTATAGGCTCAGGGCTGGAAGGCAAGTGGACTGTCCAGGTCAGATCCCGACCTAGCCTTCTCGGTTTGCTTCAAGTACGAACTACGACGACTAGGCCTCAAGCCCTCTCGCCTTATAGGCTCAGGGCTGGAAGGCAAGTGGACCATCCAGGTCGGATTCTGATTGACCCTCTCGGTTTGTACGCCGACCACAACCCTGACCAAACAACTCTCTTTCTACGGGTGTTCGGTCAATTCCCGACTAGGCATCCCTGTAGGACACCTATTGGCCTATTCCCGATATCCCTTACCCACTATGGTTTACTCAGCCAATGCCCGACTACACCCCAAGGCTCTGAACCTTGTCGGTCAGGATCCGACTCAACATTCCCACGTTTATCAAAATATCTTTGAAATAATAACGGTTATGAAATCTCCAAATTCTCGGGGCCCAGGAGGCCCACGAACTACAAACTATAAAACTTAAAACCCTAGAGCTAGGTGGACAGATTACACTTTTGAATGCTCTGGCTTTGAGGCTTGACCTAGGAAGAAACCCTAGTGCACCCCGTGGCCGGAACAATAACAATTTTACATTACCTAATATTTTGTGAAAAGACAAGTATACAAACAACATTATTTCTTATAACTTATGAACTTACGCATTCCTTTTTTTCTTTTTTAAATACACCTTTCATAGGCATAATCACTCATTTTTACTAAATTATTCTTTTAATCTCTTAAATTCAATTTTTTTTGAAATATTTTAGATGCTTTGAGGTGAAATGATTTATTTGAATGAAAAATTTACATAGAATTTAAAATTCGTACATTTGTGAAATTATTTAAAATTGTAGAATTTCAAATTATTTCAAAAACAAAAGTAAGAATTTGAAATTCTTTTTCCTCTTTTTATTCATATCTCTCTCTCTTCTCTTCTAAAGTTGACATAAAAATTAATATTAGTTTTTTTAATTATTGAATACTCAAAATTATTTTTAAACTATTAAATATTATCTAATATTAATTTTAAAAATTATTAAATATTTTAAAATGAGCTAATATTTAGTTTTATAAATTTTAATCTTAAAGTTTTAATACGTGTGTGTTTAAAATCAATTTACTCATGGTTGTCCTATCCAATTTCAGAATGAATTTTTTTAAAAAAAATTAAATTAATTTATCTAAAAAAACATTTAATAAATACTACAAATTAAAATCAAAATAATTCAAAATTTTAAAAAAATTTTATTTCTATAATTTTTCATTCAAACACACTATAATTTTCTAAAATGTTGTAATGTGATTTTTACTATCCAATTAAATTGAAACTAACAATGTTAAATTCTTGTACGTAGAATATGATAAGAAAATGACATATATTGCCTACATGTACAAAAATATAATGTGTTAGTTTCGGTTAGTAACAGAATAAAGGCAGTATAATAAGCGATGAATAATTCACTGCATTTCTCTCTTGTCACGTTACAAGGAATAAAGAAGGCCTATATATAAGAAAATGTGCTACCTAGGCTGGCCTTATAGAATTTGTACTACCCCAATAGAAATAAGGCAACTGTACAAAGAATTAGAGGTAGTGGAAAAATAAGGAAAATGGCAGTCGGGTGTTGCAGGGACGACAAAAGCAAATAACAGAATTGCAGAAAAGGAAATAATAAAGTTTGTAGAATTGGTGATTTGTCAGCTTCCTTCTAGAAGTCTATTGTCTATATCCTTTGATACCCCCGCAAGCTGGGGAGCAAATGTTTATGAGACCCAGCTTGGAACAAATACAACGAAAGGATTGAGGACTTAAGGCCTTAGTGTATATGTCTACTAATTGCTCAGTAGAGGATATAGGAAGCAAGTGGATGAGTCTTTTTTTAAGTTTCTCTCTAACAATGTGACAGTCTATTTCTATGTGTTTTGTGCGCTCATGAAACACAGGATTAGTTGCAATATGCCTTGCTGAATCATTGTCACAATATAGAAGGGATGGTTGCTCAAAAGGAACCTTAAAGTCTTGTAAGAGGTAAGTTAGCCATTAGATTTCACAAGTGGAAGAGGCCATTGCCTTGTACTCAACTTCACAAGAGCTCTTTGATGTAGTGTTCTGCTTCTTTGACTTCCAGGATATAAGGGAATTTCCAAGGTAAATGCTGAAACCAGTGACTGACTTCCTTGAGTCACCACAGGTTGCCCAATCACTATCACAATATGCCTTGATATGAGGGATGCTATTTGAAGGAAAAAATAAACCAAGACTTGGGGCTCCTTTAATGTATTTTAGAATCCTGATTGAGGCAGTGTAATGAAACATTGTAGGCTTGGCAAGGAATTGTGCGAGCTGCTGAACAGAGAAAACTATATCTGGGCGAGTATTTGTGAGATATATGAGTCTTCCAATCAGACGCCTATATGCTAGAACATCTCTGAATGGTTCACCTTTAGTGGATGACAGTTTGGCAACATTGTCAATTGGCGTGGAAGCTGGCTTACAAGCTAAAAGACCTGCTTCTGACAATAATTCTAGTGCATACTTCCGTTGATTCACCGTTATTCCTTTCTTGCTTCTGGCCACTTCAAGACCTAGAAAGTATCTTAAGTTTCCAAGGTCTTTGATTTTGAATGTGTCATCTAGTGCTTGTTTAATTCGATCAATCTCCTCCTTATCATTTCCAGTCAATATTATGTTGTCTACATACACTAATAAGGCTGTAAAAGATCCTTCAGAAGAATTGATAAATAGGGAGTGATCATTCATGGATTGGGTGTATCCAACAGAGAGTAAAAAGAATGACAACTTAGCAAACCATTCTCTCCCAGCCTGTTTAAGACCATACAAGGCCTTTCTCAATTTGCACACTTGTCTTGGTTGAATGGAACTCAGTCCAGGAGGAGCAACCATGTAAACATCCTCTTTCAATTCTCCATGTAAAAAGGCATTGTTTATGTCTAATTGCTTTAATTCCCAATTATAAATGGAAGCCAAGGATAGAAGCAACCTTATTGTTGTCATTTTTGCCACGGGAGAAAAAGTTTCAAGATAGTCAATGCCTTCAGTTTGGGTGTATCCCTTTGCCACTAACCTTGCCTTGTATCTCTCAACATTCCCATCAGCTTTGTGTTTTACTTTGAACACGCATTTGCATCATATGGCAACCTTGTCCTTTGGTAGAGATGTAGTTATCCAAGTTTGATTTGACTCCAAAGTAGATATCTCACACTGTATAGCCTTTCTCCAACAATCATGCTTGATGGCCTCTGAGTAGGAACTTGGCTCAATATGTGAAGAAATAGACATGACAAAGGATGAGTAAGTATGTGACAGATTATTGTAAGACATAACTGAACAAAGAGGATATTTAACCTTTGAATATGTACTGGTAAAATTAAAATTGCAATGATAATCCTTTAAGTACTCAAGTGACTTCCTTGGTTTGGTGCTTATGCGGGTAGGCTGAAGGGGACTCTGGTGTGTGTTAGGTTCTTCCTCAACAATTTGTTCTATTAGTGGGTTGCTTTCTGGTGGTGATTCAGAGTTGTTCTCGTGATCATTGTTGCTGGTGCCATTTAGATTTTGATAAGGTACAGGCTCAAGTTATGATGGCTGATTTGTGATGGGTTGTTCTTCAATGAAGTGGTTTTGATCATGAATATGGGGGCTGTTAGTTTCATCACTAGTGACCTGTTCTTTGTGATAAGGAAAAATGTGTTCATGAAAAAGAACATCCCTGGACACAAAAATTTCTCTAGTGTGAATATTTAGTAAAACGTTTCCCTTTGTTCCCTCTTTAAACCCAAGAAAAACACACTTAGATGCCCTTGGATCAAACTTTTTCCTATTAACAGATGAGGTGCTTGCAAAACATAAGGACCCAAAAACCTTTAATTTTGTGAAATTCGGTTCAACTTTGTATAGCACTTCATGTGGAGAAGAATAGTTTAAAACAGGTGTGGGAAGCATATTTATTATGTGGGCAACATGTATTAAAGCATATGACTAATAAATTTTTGGCAAATCATATTGTATCATAAGAGCTCTAGCTACATTCAATAAATGACCATGTTTCCTCTAAACTATGTTGTTTTGTTGAGGAGTATTAACACATGAAGTTTGATGCATTATTCCTTTATTTTTAAAAAAATCAGCCATGAAGAATTCAGTTCCATTATCACTCCTTATTATTTTTATAGAAACTTCAAACTGAGTTTGAACAAAAGTAACAAAGCTTATGAGCATGAACAGATGGTGTTGAATATGGTCCCCAAAGGTCAACATGTATAAGATTAAAACATTTTTCAGATTTAGATGTACTAATGGGAAAAATGAGTCTCCTTTGTTTTGCATAATGGCAAACATCACAAACATATGACTTATCTTTTTTAACAAAAGGGAATTTACTCTTGATGACATCAATACACTTATTTGAAGCATGTCCTAATCGAAAATGCCAAAGAGTTTCAAGATCACTAGTAGTGAAATTAACAGTGCTAATAACATGTGGAGGTGGTTTAGTGGACTTGAGTTGTAGTTTCTGATATGAAGGAATCCTGAGTACATAAAGTCTATCTTGCATTTTAGCTAAACCAATCATCTTCAAGGAGTTCTTGTCCTGAATCTGACAGTAACCAGAATTAAAGGTGAGAATACAAGATAAATTATCAATTAATTTTGCTATTTAAAGAAGATTAAAAGAGAAATAAGGAATGTAAAGAACATTGTGTATGACATAATTCTAACTTAGAAAAATAGTCCCAGAATACTCAACAATGACTTGACTTCCGTTTGGTAACTTTACATACACAGGGTTAATTTTATGATATGAAGTAAAATAAGCTAAGGATGAGCAAATGTGATCTGTAGCACCACTATCAAGGATCCAAAGGCTAAAAGGAAGAAGAGATTTGTTACCATTGTGAGCTGATATGTTTATGGATGTGGAAGGAATAATTGAGACTTGATTGGAGACACTACTACTAGATGGAGATTGCTGCAAGAGGGCTAACAGTGCTTGATATTTGTAATACCCATTTTTTTTATTATTAATTATCAATGGCACATTAGTATTGGAAGTTTCTTTTCCTTTGGCCTTCCTTTTGGCTGCCTTTTGTCCTATCGGACGGGATGTTGGCGTTGGTATCTCATATTCATCAAGTTTAATGGGTGTCTTTGTGTTGGAAGACAAAAAGTAACCACCTGCAAACGTTACCTTCCCTCTTTTTGAATTGTGTTGCACGAAATCAGATTGCCATTTAGGTTCATCTCTCAAAATGACCCATGCATGCTCCATATCAAATTTTTTACCTGTATCTTGAGTGTAAATCTTATGTGCGAATGCCATGACATCTTTCTCCGAACTCCCGCTTTTCTTTTGACTAATTGCTTATTTGTAGCAACCAATAAATTTTTGAACTGCAGGATGAATTCGATTCTAACGTGCTTTTAGTTGAGTCGATTCTCTCTCTAGGAACTCGCCACGGTCTTCATTGTTGTTGTATGCTTTTGTGATTCTCGACCAATATTGTCGTAATGTTTGATCAACTCCTATGATTGGATCCTTCGATGTATTGACCCATGACCTCACGAGAATAATATCTTCTTGAACTGTGAATGGAACACGAATTTTTTTTGTTGACGAATTCTCTGCACTTCCATCTAGTTGAATTCCATCGAGACCAATTGGCGATTCAGGTTCACTATTAGGAGCGTCAATATTATGTAGAGGAGAAGGCCTATAACATGCATTTGGGTTGGTGAGAGGTGGTGGTTGACTAAAAAATTGTGGTCCTTGAGAATTATCACCACTAGGTGGATGTGTTGGAAACATATAATATTGTGGTGCTGACCAATAAGGTGGTGGATTTTGAGATTTTTCACTAAAATAAGATGGTGGATTCATAACATATTGCGAAGAAATTTGAGAATTTGCACTCATCGATGGTGGGTGGTTTTGGAGAGAATTTAAATTTTTTTGATGATTGTATTGGTTAGGATCCATTTTTGAGAGCAAAACAAGCAAGATAAAAGAAGTAGAAGAGAGTTAAAGAGATCCAAATTTTTTAATTGAGTTGATACATATTTATAATGATTTTTTTTTAAATGCCAACGGCTCTTCAACGGATCTTTCAAGTTATTTTTTATTAATTTTTTAATTTTTTAATTTCTATTTTTTATTTTTTATTTCTTAAACCGTCTCTTTTTCTTCTTTTTCTCTTCGTGAGAGAGTTTTCTCATTTTTCATCACCTTTCCTTTCCTTCCAACTCCACCTTCACCTTTCCTTTTCTTCACCTTTTCTTCTTCCAACTCCGTCTACCGTTGGCGTCACCGTCGCTGCGCGCAGGTCCAGCCAGAACGTCCACCGGCGCGCCTCTGCTATCCAACCGCGCGCCTCCGCCGT